ATAATCAAGAGATATTCAATCCAAGCTACATTTATTATATGCAAAATGTATGTATGATAAGTATGTTGGTTCGTATACGGGCTCACTGAAATACCACGCAGGGCAGACAGAGAACTGATCCATTGTTACAGGTTCTTCTTCAAATAGTCTGACAGAGATAGTTCCCACTCCCTGCTGGGCCTATCAGAGTAGAGAATGAGCGTGGTTTAGACTTACTCAGCCAATCCGTTGGCGCACAGGCTGGTCCCAGCCCCTCGGCGCTCCACTGTTGCACACTGTTGCCAGGCATAAGTTGTTATCACCACAACCTGTAGAGTCATCACCCATAGACACCGTTCCACTGTACTCTAAGTACCTACGTTCAAGGACGGTTCACAGACAACGGTTCACAGACAACAAAGAGGCAGTGTTCGTATCTGTGAGAAATACAAGTCTTATCTCATCCTACCCCCTAACGTTCCTCACATGAATCACAGCTTGTTATGTGAAACAATTTATATCAGTACAGTACAAACCTTTTATGCTTTAATCATTAATGCATTCTTTCTAAGTTAGTCATCCCATCCAGTTATGAGAAAATAGATCCCCACAGGGTATACTTGTTCTTTGTGGATGTTGTCTTATTCCCTGTGTCTGAGGGTTGGTGAGAAAGGAGATGGAGAAGGCGGTTTCCCAACAGATGGTGAGATACGGCCCAATCCCGGACTCCTACCTAAGGAATGAAAGATATGACCTACCAGGCTTGGTGGAGTGACACCTTAGAGGGTGTCTAAAGGGGGCCAAAATGTACTTCCCTGTTTGTGTTTTGTGTTTTATTAATCCTGTGTTTTATGCTTTATTAATCAAGTTAACCATTGTGAATGTTTGTCTTTCCTTATGTGAAGGTTTGAAGTTCCTGGGTGGCTGGTAGCCAACCTAGTACAAGTGGGTGTAGATGGAAGGACTGAGGGTTTTTATTTTTTATTATCATTATTGCCTATTAATAAAGGTGTGATTATTTTTGTTTGTATTGCATTTTAATGAGTGACACCCAAGAGGGTGTCAATAGGGGGAATCCTAAAATTCCCAGAAATTTGTTAGTTTGGGTTTTCTTATTTTGGGTTCACACCCAGTGGGTGTGAAAAGGGAGATTGTGGGGATCTGGATGTGATACCTAGCTTAGAAAGAATGCATTAATGATTAAACATAAAAGGTTTGTACTGTACTGATATAAATTGTTTCACATAACAAGCTGTGATTAATGTGAGGAGCTGTTTTAGGGAGTAGGGGGAGATAAGAACTTGTGTCTCAAAATATTAGACTACACTGCCTCTGTTGTCTGTGAACTGTCCAAGGACGTAGGTACAGGGGAACAGTGTCTATGGGTGATGACTCTACAGGTTGTGATGATAACAAACTTATGCCTGGCAACAGTGTGCAACAGTGGAGCGCCAAGGGAATGGGACCAGCCTGTGCGCCAACGGATTGGCTGAGTAAGTCTAAACCACGCTCAGTCTCTACTCTGATTGGCCAGCAGGGAGCGGGAACTATCTCTGTCAGAGTATTTGAAGAAGAACTCAGAACAATGGCTTAGTTCTCTGAGTGTCCTGCGTGGTATTTCAGTGGACCCATATATACGAACATCATATTTACCATTGAAGTGTTTTGCATTAATTAAAATACTAGTCTATTTTAGAAGACGTGTATTGACCTCTTTTGTTCCTAATACCAGATTTGAATTGATGCAACTTAACAATAGGAGTGGTTAAAACATGCTAATAACGGTCCTCTGAGTATATCAAAAAAGGTTTGGTATACCTGGACTGGTATGCCATCCAACCCTGGAGCTTTCCCGGACTTAAAGTCTTTAATTGCATCCAGAAGTTCCTCCTCTGTAATTTCACCTTCACATCAGTCTTTCTGTATGGCTGTTAATTTTACGTTATCAATACATTACTCAGTACTTTGTTGAAGGACCTTACAGCCTCAAGTCTTCTTGGGTATGACCCTACAAGCTTAGCACACCTGTATTTGGGGAGTTTCTCCCATTCTTCTCTGCAGATCCTCTCAAGCTCCGTCAGGTTGGATGGGGAGCGTCGCTGCACAGCTATTTTCAGGTCTCTCCAGAGATGTTAGATCGGGTTCAAGTCCGGGCTCTGGCTGGGCCACTCAAGGACATTCAGAGACTCGTCCCGAAGCCACTTCTGCGTAGTCTTGGCTGTGTGCTTAGGGTCGTTGTCCTGTTGGAAGGTGAACCGTCACCCCAGTCGGAGGTCTTGAGCGCTCTGGAGCAGGGTTTCATCAAGGATCTCTCTGTACTTTGCTCCATTCATCTTTCCCTTTATCCTGACTAGTCTCCCAGTCCCTGCCGCTAAAAAACATCCTCACAGCATGATGCTGCGACCACCATGCTTCACCGTAGGGATGGTGCCAGGTTTCCTACAGACGTCACGCTTGGCATTCAGGCCAGAGAATCTTGTTTCTCATGGTCTGAGAGTCTTTAGGTGCCTTTTGGAAAACTCCAAGCGGGCTGTCGTGTGCCTTTTACTGATGAGTGGCTTCAGTCTGGCCACTCTACCATAAAGGCCTGATTGGTGGAGTGTTGCAGAGATGGTTGTCCTTCTGGAAGGTTCTCCAATCTCCACAGAGGAACTCTGGAGCTCTGTCAGAGTGACAATTGGGTTCTTGGTCACCTCCCTGACCAAGGCCCTTCATCCCCGATTGCTCAGTTTGGCCGGGCGGCCAGCTCTAAGAAGAGTCTTGGTGGTACCAAACTTCATCAATTTAAGGATGATGGAGGCCACTGTGTTCTTGGGGACCTTCAATGCTGCAGACATTTTTTGGTACCCTTCCCCAGATCTGTGCCTCGACACAAACCTGTCTCGAAGTTCTACGGACAGTTCCTTCGACCTCATGGCTTGGTTTTTGCTCTGACATGCACTGTCAACTGTGGGACCTTATATAGACAGGTGTGTGCCTTTTCAAATCATGTCCAATCAATTGAATGTAACACAGGTGGACTCCAATCAAGTTGTAGACACATCTCACAGATGATCAATGGGAACAGGATGCACCTGTGCTCAATTTCGAGTCTCATAGCAAAGGGTCTGAATACTTCTGTTTTTTATTTGTAATACATTTACAAAAAAATCTAAAAACCTGTTTTCGCTTTGTCATTCTCGGGTATTGTGTGTAGATTGATGAGGATTTTCTTTAATTTAATAAATTTTAGAATAAGGCTGTAACGTAACAAAAAGTTGAAAAAGAGAAGGGGTCTGAATACTTTCCGAATGCACTGTATATATTTTTTTACAATCGAAATACACTACCAGTCAAATGTTTGGACACACCTACTCATTCAAGGGTTTTCTTTATTTTTTACAATTTTTTAAATTGTAGAATTATAGTGAAGACATCAAAACTATGAAATAACACATATGGAATCATGTAGTAACCAAAAAAGTGTTAAACAAATCAAATTATATTTTATATTTGAGATTCTTTAAATAGCCCCTCTTTGCCTTGATGACAGCTTTGCACACTCTTGGCATTATCTCAATCAGCTTCATGAGGTAGTCACCTGGAATGCATTTCAATTAACAGGTGTGCCTTCTTAAAAGTTAATTTGTGGAATTTCTTTCCTTCTTAATGCTTTTGAGCCAGTCAGTTGTGTTGTGACAAGGTGGGGGGGGGACCCTATTTGGTAAAAGACCAAGTCCATATTATGGCAAGAACAGCTCAAATAAGCAAAGAGAAATGACAGTCCATCATTACTTTAAGACATGAAGGTCATTAAATCCGGAAAATGTCAAGAACTCTTAAAGTTTCTTGGAGTGCAGTCGCAATAACCATCAAGTGCTATGATAAAACTGGCTCTCATGAGGACCGCCACAGGAATGGAAGACCCAGAGTTACCGCTGCTGCAGAGGATAAGTTCATTAGAGTTACCAGCCTCAGAAATTGCAGCCCAAATAAATGCTTCACAGACACATCTCAACATCAACTGTTCAGAGGAGACTGTAAGAATCAGTCCTTCATTGTCGAATTGCTGCAAAGAAACCACTACTAAAGGCCACCAATAAGAAGAAGAGACTTGCTTGGGCCAAGAAACACGAGCAATGGACATTAGACAGGTGGAAATGTGTCCTTTGGTCTGGAGTTAAAATTTGAGATTTTTGGTTCCAACCGCTGTGTCTTTGTGAGACGCGGTGTGGGTGAACGGATGATCTCCGCATGTGTATTTCCCACCGTAAAGCATGGAGGAGGAGGTGTTATGGTGTGGGGGTGCTTTGCTGATGACACTGTCAGTGATTTATTTAGAATTCAAGGCACACTTAACCAGCATGGCTACCACAGCATTCTGCAGCGATACGCCATCCCATCTGGTTTGGGTTCAGTGGGACTATCATTTGTTTTTCAACAGGACAATGACCCAACACACCTCCAGGCTGTGTAAGGGCTATTTTACCAAGAAGGAGAGTGATGGAGTGCTGCATCAGATGACCTGGCCTCCACAATCCCCCGACCTGAGTTGGTTTGGGATGAGTCGGACCTCAGAGTGAAGTAAAAGCAGCCAACAAGTGCTCAGCATATGTGGGAACTCATTCAAGACTGTTGGAAAAGCATTCCAGGTGAAGCTGGTTGAGAGAATGCCAAGAGTGTGCAAAGCTGTCATCAAGGCAAAGGGTGGCTATTTGAAGAAATATTAAATATATTTTGATTTGTTTAACACCTTTTTGGTTAATATATGATTCCATATGTGTTATTTCATAGTTTTGATGTCTTCACTATTATTCTACAATGTAGAAAATAGTACAAATAAAGAAAAACCCTGGAATGAGTAGGTGTGTCCAAACTTTTGACTAGTACTGTATACAATATTTTTTATAATGTTGAAATATAGAAATGAAAACTTCCAGATTTGTATAATGTTGAAATGTTAACACATCCAGATTTTCATCATGTTGAAACTAACCTCCATTTGTAACTAGGTCAAAAACAGAGCATGACCATATCTGCACATTTTCCTTTGATGCTCATCTCCTGTCCAAAAACTGACATCAGAGGCTCTCTCCCAGAAAAGCTTGTTTGTCTTCAGTGTTTATCCCAGAAGTCGAGTGGGTGGTCCTGATACCGAACAATGACCTCAGTCAGGCTGCTCCACACACACTGGGAGGAAGATGGCTGCTCTACTGCTGCTGTTGTTGGTTAGTGCTGGAGTCCTGCTGTCTTCTATTGAGGCTCAGGAGGCTTACAGTAAACTCCCTGATAACTATAGGAAAGGAGTGGATCTGGCCTTGCAACAACTCAACTCTCACTCTGGAGTCCAGCACCATTTTCTCTTCTTCAAGAGTCTCCTGAAGTCCGACATAGAGGTAAAACCTGGTGCCGGGAATCATGCCTCTATTTACATACCAGGCTCTATTTGGTGCATGACAAAAGTAATGACAAACAGAACCATGGAGATTTCCATTGCTGGGAGGTTGTGGCAGGACCATTTTGTGTAGACCACTCTGGTAAATGTTTATGGTTTAGTTTACAATGCTTTATACATTTTCTTCTTCTAGCCTGGATTTGATGTGAGCTACATTTATCACAATTTCTACCTGAAAGCCACCAAGTGTCGAAAGGGAACAGTTGACTCCACGCAATGCAAGTTCAGGGATGACCGAGTGAGTACCTGGAACTGTCTGAGAACAGTTGTGCTGAATCATCAACACCCTTAGGGCTTTCATACAATGCCATGACTTATAGTCTACACATCTAAGTCTACAGCATGGAATAAAAATGTTTATATGATGCTGTCATATTGTGTGTATTTCGACAGCCATTGATAGACTGTGGAGTCTGCTACAAAACCTTTGCTGGAAAGATTGAGAAGGAGCCTCAGCCGTATGTCCACTGTCTCCACAAACCAGCGCTTACAGAGGTGTGTTGGATCACTAGTTGTCCCCTCCCACAACATTAAACTGTTTAAATCACTCACCACACAAATTCTTTAACAAAGTATGCTAATGAGAAACATTTTAGAATTGTCATTAGGACACCATCACATGAGCAGAGAACTCTTTCTTATAATCTAATTCAGAAACATACAGTAATTTCTGTGATTTGTTCCATCACATCATTGAGTAAAAATTTATTTTGAGGACATTAATATTGTGAAGGTTATTGAAGACGAATATAAACCTGTTCATTTCCCCTCCTTTAATGTTGTGAATTTCAGGATATGAAGACAAGAAGAGTAGATCACTGTAACACAATGAGTTACCGAAGTGGAGCCCTTACTCTCCTGGCTTCAAAGGGTTCCAAGTGAAATTCTTGGCAACAGGAGCAATGTAGTTTTGTGGCCATGATAAAACTTTAAACACACTTTTTTTTTTTGCCTGCGTTGAAGATGCCTATATCGGTCCGCTAATACAGGACTAGTAAAGGCAAAGTGCGCTACTTTTGTGAAAAAATGTTAACTCAAGGTATTTGAGTGTTTACCAGAATTTGTAACTTGAGTCGGATAATTATCTGTACAAAACAGTTAATCTGATAATACTTGTGGAATATAAAAATATTGCTTGATATATGTTTTCCAGTTTCTTGAACTACTTTGCAAATGCAACTTATTTCTCTGTGGAAACAGAAATGGTCTATTCATTCCTTTTACATTTTAGTAGATGCTCTTATCCAGAGCAACTTAGTAGTGAGTGCAGTGGTGGAAAAAGTACCCAATTGTCATACTTGAGTAAATGTAATAATAGAAAATGACTCAAGTAAAAGTGAAAGTCGCCCAGTACAATCCAAGTATTTGGTTTTAAATATACTTAAGTATATAAAGTAAATGTAATTGCTAAAATATACTTAAGTAGAAGTATAAATCATTTCAAATTCCTTATATTAAGCAAACCAAACGGTACCATTTTCATGTTTTTTAATTTACGGATAGCCAGGGGCACTCTCCAACACTCAAACGTCATTTACAAATGAAGCATGTGTTTAGTGAGTCCGCCAGATAATAATAATATGCCATTTAGCAGACACTTTTATCCAAAGCGACTTACAGTCGTGCGTGCATACATTTTTTGTGTATGGGTGGTCCCGGGGATCAAACCCACTACCTTGGCGTTACAAGCGCCCTGCTCTACCAGCTGAGCTACATAGGACCACCAGATCAGAGGCAGTAGAGATGACCAGGGATGTTCTCTTGATAAGTGTGTGAATTAGACAATTTTCCTGTCCTGCTAAGCATTCAAATGTAACGAGTACTTTTGGGTGTCAGGGAAAATGTATGGAGTAAAAAGTACCATTATTTGTTTTAGGAATGTAGTGAAGTAAAAGTTGTCAAAAATATAAATAGTAAAGTAAAGTACAGATACCCCAAAAAACTACTTAAGTAGTACTTTCAAGTATTTTAACACAACTGAGTGAGAGCATAAATGTTTGTACTGGTCCCCTGTGGGATTTGAACCCACAATTCTAGCGTTGCAAGTGCTATGCTCTACCAACTGTGCCACATCATCACAAACCACTTGATGTCGCAATGTACTCAATTTATGTATTGTGCATTGTTTTTCTTCATGGTGATGGAAAGTCTACAGGTACCAAACCTAGATGATGTACAATACAGTAATGTATTTACATTAAATGGTTTGTAAGGATGTTAAATTAATACTGCACAGAAAGTGGTTGTTTTCCATGTTATTTGATCAAGAAAAATATTTAATTTGATGTGGATGTTTAGTGTCTTTGCCCATAACTTTGTTCTTTCTAGATTCCATTGGAATGACAATCGCAGAGAAAGGGACAGGACAACAACTCTTACAAATCCAACTATTGAATTCTGCAAGGTACTGTTCTTAATTATACAACTACCTTCCTTGCCAAAGCAGAGATTTTTGTAGATTTTTCTTTATGTGCCTGCTCTACAGACGTCTATATCGGTCCGTTAATACTAGTAAAGACTTCTGTTAAAATATTTTGTATTCATATATTTTTTCGATTCACTTTTTCAGTGGATGCTGCTGCACCCTCAAAACCAATACTTCAAATACAAATATTCAATGTCCCAGTAGTTGAGCAGGATGAATCCCTTCTGTTCGTTGTGAAAATGTTGAAAGTTAAGTGTGGTACACTTATTTTCAATAAAGTTTTATTCAGAAAATATGAATCTGAGTCACTGGTGTTTCTCCCTTCCAAATAGCACATAGGTAGGTGGACATGATAGGGGAAATTCCTGTAGATGTTGCAGCATCTCCCATTCCTCGATAGGAAGGTCAAGAAAAACAAGCAATGTACAGCACAGTTGGCTGATAGCATGTTTAACGCTTCGATCAGACCCACAGCATCATTGCATCAATGCGGTGTAATAAATAATGCAATCAAACTTTTTAATTATGTAATCCAACATTTTTACTGGATATGTGTGCAACAAAAGTTCAATATTCACCTTTTGCTACTATTTCTGTAAAGTCTATGCATACAATTTGATGCATATTTTGGATCCAAGGTATGCACCACACAGAACATAGAACACACTGAACTACTTCTGCAATGCAATGCTGCAAGGCAAACGCAGTGTTCCATGGAAATTAATGTAATTCTGGTGTACCAAAACACAATGACACTGTCTTTGTCTGTGTGATCGAGGCATAGGGCTCTATTCAATCCCTATCACGGAAATTATGCGTTACAGCAGGACTGTGATTTAAAGGCAATGTTCCTGCATTAGCAGAGACTGTGTTCACGCTAAACGCTGCATATGTCGGCTCAATCGGAAATTACCTTTACATTTCTAACGCGCAATCTGTAACGCTTTCGCAATACAGATTGAATAGAGCCCTAGGCTTGTCCTAGTCATCCCTAGCTTCTGAGTAATACGTTTCGATTCTCGTTAATGTTTATCCTGGTGGGAGAAGTGTCCACTGTCCACAGAGATGCCTCAGTCAGGCTGCTCCTTACACACTGGGAGGAAGATGGCTGCTCTACTGCTGCTGTTGTTGGTTAGTGCTGGTGTCCTGCTGTCTTCTATTGAGTCTCAGGAGGCTTACAGTAAACTCCCTGATAACTATAGGAAAGGAGTGGATCTGGCCTTGCAACAACTCAACTCTCACTCTGGAGTCCAGCACCATTTTCTCTTCTTCAAGAGTCTCCTGAAGTCCGACATAGAGGTAAAAAACAATGTTGGTTGTTGTGACCACTAAATATATAGATGCAAATATGCACTGACCATGAACTGCTAAAACTGAGGAAGACCTTTTGAGGTTGAGATCAGATCCATACTCAAGTGTTACCATGTTACAGGTGGATAATACAACTTCAACAATACTTGATAGAATCACCATTTTTCTTTCAGTCTGGGTTTAATGTACAATACGTCTACCACAATTTCTACTTGAAAGCCACCACATGTGCCAAGGGAACCGTTAATCCAAGCTATCAGCGATGCCAATTCAGGAATGACCGAGTGAGTAATACACTTGTACTTGCTTCAACTGGTTCTATTGTCTTTTGTCAAAGCTTTTGAAGAACATAAATGAGTATTTCAGTCATCAGCCGCTTCTCAATTCAATTCAACAAACATATTTTTAAGTTTCTGGAGATTAAGTTTATGACCGTTGACATATCATTACAGGTTATAGATGTAGCACAATGATGAATCCATATTTATTTTTGTGTGTATTGTAACAGCCACTGATTGACTGTGGAGTTTGTTACAAAACATTTTCCGGAGAGATTGAGAAAGACCCCAAGCCATATGTCCACTGTCTCCACAAACCAAAACTAACAAAGGTATTTATTGAAACTTGACACATATTGTGAAATATCTATTTTTAAATGAAAAGTGTTAGAAATGATGACACAGCATGAGTCCATTTCCTTTTGTTTCAGGCTGTGTCGACAGCAAGACTAGAGCACTGTCGCAAGATGAGCTACACCAGCGGAGCCCCTACTCTCCTATCCAGCACCAAGACTGATACTGATGAGTGAAATACCATAGAATAGATGGTTAATAAGACAGAATTGAAAATTAACTGCATTTACAAAACACTGGTGTAATTTCTAGTTTGTGCCCAGATCATTTTTGTTTAAAGGGCATTCCAGCACTTTTCAACTTCATATTCATTATCTCCAGCACCATACCAGTGTCTACAAATGTAAAAACGGATTTGTAGTAAAATAGTATCAAGTTAAAAAGTGCAATTTGATGATGAAAACAGTGATTTTCAAACACTATGAGATTCATGGTCACGCAGGAGCAGGAAAATGTCCTTCCTCTGGCTAGAAACTCGTTGTAGGTTTTGAAAAACACAGTTTTTTACTTTTAATCCTACTCAATGATGTCATCAAGTATAATATTTTTTAGGAGCTTACTTAGCTTTTTAACCACAGAACGTAGAAATGCGCCATTTTCATACACTGATAGTGTGCTGAAATAATTAATATGAGGTTGAAAAGTGGTGGAATTGCCCTTTAAGTACATTTTATAACATTTGCTTTACTGAATGTGCATGTACATGTCTGTATATAGTGTACTATTTAGTATCTCAGCTACACTGAAATCATTAAAAAAAACTACACAAAAATGATCAAAATCTGTTTACTCTAAGTGGTGAGCCATTGCCATATTGATTTCATTCTTCCCTTTTCCAATTCAAACAAACAACTTCATGACTAGGCAGACTACGAATCAAACTTTTGACTTTGTTGTGTTGTGAGACATAGTTTTCTAGGTAATACAATTCATAGAAGATTTAGAAAATTGTATTGTTTCACTACTATTCATTTGGGAAAGACAATTCTAGTGATGGTAAGTTACATAACTGCTTAGGTGGAGTACATTTACATTTTAGTCATTTAGCAGACGCTCTTATCCAGAGCGACTTACAGTTAGTGAATACATATTTTATTTATTTATTTATTTTAATGTTTTTTTTTCTCGTTTTTTTTTATACTGGCCCCCCGTGGGAATCGAACCTACAACCCTGGCGTTGCAAACGCCATTCTCTATCAACTGAGCTACATCCCTGCCGGCCATTCCCTCCCCTACCCTGGACGACGCTGGGCCAATTGTGCGCCGCCCATGAGTCTCCCGGTCGCGGCCGGCTGCGACAGAGCCTGGATTCGAACCAGGATCTCTAGTGGCACAGTTAGCACTGCGATGCAGTGCCTTAGACCACTGCGCCACTCAGGAGTAACAATGCATGAGTTGTGTAATGAAGTCCACATGGCCAGAGACCAGCCCTCTCCCGGGGAGGTTTCAGAGGGGTGGCAACAGCCCCCCCTGCAATATAACTGGCCACCCTTAGTTGCCCCCCATTCTCATTGGGTCAGAGCACTGTCAATCGGGTTCAGATTGGAGAAAGAAGATGGTGCGTTTCTTCTGGCAGTTTAATTCTAATGATGGTAAATTACAGTACATAACAGTTACAAACAGTGCATTCGGAAAGTATTCAGACCTCTTGACTTTTTCCACATATTGTTACATTACAGCCTTATTCTAAAATGGATTACATCGTTATTTTTTCCTGATCAATCTACACGCAATACCCAATAATGACAAAGCAAAAACAGATTTTTAGACATTTTTGCTAATTTATAACAGCGATTACAGCCTCAAGTCTTCTTCGGTATGACGCTACAAGCTTGGCACTCATGTATTTGGGGAGTTTCTCCCATTATTCTCTGCAGATCCTCTTAAGCTCTGTCAGGTTGGATGGGGAGCGTCGCTGCACAGCTATTTTCAGGTCTCTCCAGAGATGTTCGATCGGGTTCAAGTCAGGGCTCTGGCTGGGCCACTCAAGGGCATTCAGAGACTTGTCCCGAAGCAACTCCTGCGTTGTCTTGGCTGTGTGCTTAGGGTTGTTATCCTGTTGGAAGGTGAACCTTCACCCCAGTCTGAGGTCCTGAGCGCTCTGGAGCCAATTTTCAGTAAGGATCTCTCTGTACTTTGTTACTTTCATCTTTACCTCGATCCTGACTAGTCTCCCAGTCCCTGCCGCTGAAAAACATCCCCACAGCATGATGCTGCCACCACCATGCTTTACCGTAGGGATGGTGCCAGGTTTCCTCCAGATGTGACGCTTGGCATTCAGGCCAAAGAGTTCAATCTTGGTTTCATCAGACCAGAGAATCTTGTTTCTCATGGTCTGAGAGTCTTTAGGTGCCTTTTGGCAAACTCCAAGCGGGCTGTCATGTGCCTTTTACTGAGGAGTGGCTTCCGTCTGGCCACTCTACCATAAAGGACTGATTGCTGGAGTGCTGCAGAGATGGTTGTCCTTCTGGAAGGTTCTCCCATCTCCACAGAGGAACTCTGGAGCTCTGTCAGAGTGACCATCGGGTTCTTGGTCACCTCCCTGGCCAAGGCCCTTCTCCCCCGATTGCTCAGTTTGGCCGGGCGGCCAGCTCTAGGAAGAGTCTTGGTGGTTCTAAACTTCTTCCATTTAAGAATGATGGAGGCCACTGTGTTCTTAGCGACCTTCAATGCTGCAGAATTTTTTGGGTACCCTTCCCCAGATCTGTGCCTCGACACAATCCTGTCTCGGAGCTCTACGGACAATTCCTTCGACCTCATGGCTTGGTTGTTGCTCTGACATGCACTGTCAGCTGTGGGACCTTATATAGACAGGTGTGTGCCTTTCCAAATCATGTCCAATCAATAGAATTTACCACAGGTTGACTCCAATCAAGTTGTAGAAACATCTCAAGGATGATCAATGGAAACAGGATGCACCTGAGTTACATTTCGAGTCTCATAGCAAAGGGTCTGAATACTTGTGTGAATAAGGTATTTCAGTTTTTTTGTTTGAATAAATTTGCAAACATTTCAAAAAATCTGTTTTCACTTCGTCATTGTGGGGTATTGTTTGTAGATTGCTGAGAAATAAATGATATTTAATCCATTTTAGAATAAGGCTGTCACTTAGCAAAAATGTGGAAAAAGTCAAGGGGTCTGAATACTTTCCGATGGCACTGTTTGATGCGACTCTAAAGATTACTTGAAAAAAGTTACTTTTTTATATACAGTACCAGTCAAAAGTTTGGACACACTTACTTATTCAAGTTTTTTTAGTTTTTTTTAAAACTATTTTTTAAATTGTAGAATAATAGTGAAGACATCAAAACTATGAAATAGCACATATGGAATCATGTAGTAACCAAAAAAGTGTTAAACAAATCAAAATAGATTTTAGATTCTTCAAAGTAGCCACCCTTTGCCTTGATGACAGCTTTGCACACTCTTGGCATTCTCTCAACCAGCTTCACCTGGAATGCTTTTCCAACAGCCTTGAAGGAGTTCCCACATATGCTGAGCACTTGTTGGCTGCTTATCCTTCACTCTGCCGTCCGACTCATCCCAAACCCTCTCAATTGGGTTGAGGTCGGGGGATTGTGGAGGAGCAGCAATTTGACGATGAAGGCCTGATTCACACAGTCCCCTCTGAACAGTTGATGTTGAGATGTGTCTGTTACTTGAACTCTGTGAAGCATTTATTTGGGCTGCAATTGCTGAGGCTGGTAACTCTACTGGACTTATCCTCTGCAGCAGAGGTAACTCTGGGTCTTCCATTCCTGTGGCAGTCCTCATGAAACTAACCTCCATTTGTAACTAGGTCAAAAACAGAGCATGACCATATCTGCACATTTTCCTTTGATGCTCATCTCCTGTCCAAAAACTGACATCAGAGGCTCTCTCCCAGAAAAGCTTGTTTGTCTTCAGTGTTTATCCCAGAAGTCGAGTGGGTGGTCCTGATACCGAACAATGACCTCAGTCAGGCTGCTCCACACACACTGGGAGGAAGATGGCTGCTCTACTGCTGCTGTTGTTGGTTAGTGCTGGAGTCCTGCTGTCTTCTATTGAGGCTCAGGAGGCTTACAGTAAACTCCCTGATAACTATAGGAAAGGAGTGGATCTGGCCTTGCAACAACTCAACTCTCACTCTGGAGTCCAGCACCATTTTCTCTTCTTCAAGAGTCTCCTGAAGTCCGACATAGAGGTAAAACCTGGTGCCGGGAATCATGCCTCTATTTACATACCAGGCTCTATTTGGTGCATGACAAAATTAATGACAAACAGAACCATGGAGATTTCCATTGCTGGGAGGTTGTGGCAGGACCATTTTGTGTAGACCACACTGGTAAATGTTTATGGTTTAGTTTACAATGCTTTATACATTTTCTTCTTCTAGCCTGAATTTGATGTGAGCTACATTTATCACAATTTCTACCTGAAAGCCACCAAGTGTCGAAAGGGAACAGTTGACTCCACGCAATGCAAGTTCAGGGATGACCGAGTGAGTACCTGGAACTGTCTGAGAACAGTTGTGCTGAATCATCAACACCCTTAGGGCTTTCATACAATGCCATGACTTATAGTCTACACATCTAAGTCTACAGCATGGAATAAAAATGTTTATATGATGCTGTCATATTGTGTGTATTTCGACAGCCATTGATAGACTGTGCAGTCTGCTACAAAACCTTTGCTGGAAAGATTGAGAAGGAGCCTCAGCCGTATGTCCACTGTCTCCACAAACCAGCGCTTACAGAGGTGTGTTGGATCACTAGTTGTCCCCTCCCACAACATTAAACTGTTTCAATCACTCACCACACAAATTCTTTAACAAAGTATGCTAATGAGAAACATTTTAGAATTGTCATGAGGACACCATCACATGAGCAGAGAACTCTTTCTTATACAGTGAGGGAAAAAAGTATTTGATCCCCTGCTGATTTTGTATGTTTGCCCACTGACAAAGAAATGATCAGTCTATAATTTTAATGGTAGGTTTATTTGAACAGTGAGAGACAGAATAACAACAACAAAAATCCAGAAAAACACATGTCAAAAATGTTATAAATTGATTTGCATTTAAATGAGGGAAATAAGTATTTGACCCCCTCTCAATCAGAAAGATTTCTGGCTCCCAGGTGTCTTTTATACAGGTAACGAGCTGAGATTAGGAGCACACTCTTAAAGGGAGTGCTCCTAATCTCAGTTTGTTACCTGTATAAAAGACACCTGTCCACAGAAGCAATCAATCAATCCACCATGGCCAAGACCAAAGAGCTCTCCAAGGATGTCAGGGACAAGATTGTAGACCTACACAAGGCTGGAATGGGCTACAAGACCATAGCCAAGCAGCTTGGTGAGAAGGTGACAACAGTTGGACCGATTATTCGCAAATGGAAGAAACACAAAAGACTGTCAATCTCCATCGGCCTGGGGCTCCATGCAAGATCTCACCTCGTGGAGTTGCAATGATCAAGAGAACAGTGAGGAATCAGCCCAGAACTACACAGGAGGATCTTGTCAATGATCTCAAGGCAGCTGGGACCATAGTCACCAAGAAAACAATTGGTAACACACTACGCCGTGAAGGACTGAAATCCTGCAGCGCCCGCAAGGTCCCCCTGCTCAAGCACATATACAGGGCCGTCTGAAGTTTGCCAATGAACATCTGAATGATTCAGAGGAGAACTGGGTGAAAGTGTTGTGGTCAGATGAGACCAAAATCGAGCTCTTTGGCATCAACTCAACTCGCCGTGTTTGGAGGAGGAGGAATGCTACCTATGACCCCAAGAACACCATCCCCACCGTCAAACATGGAGGTGGAAACATTATGCTTTCGGGGTGTTTTTCTGCTAAGGGGACAGGACAACTTCACCACATCAAAGGGACGATGGACGGGGCCATGCACCGTCAAATCTTGGGTGAGAACCTCCTTCCCTCAGCCAGGGCATTGAAAATGGGTTGTGGATGGGTATTCCAGTATGACAATGACCCAAAACACACGGCCAAGGCAACAAAGGAGTGGCTCAAGAAGAAGCACATTAAGGTCCTGCAGTGGCCTAGCCAGTCTCCAGACATTAATCCCATAGAAAATATGTGGAGGGAGCTGAAGGTTCGAGTTGCCAAACGTCAGGCTCAAAACCTTAATGAGTTGGAGAAGATCTGCAAAGGGGAGTGGGACAAAATCCCTCCTGAGGTGTGTGCAAACCTGGTGGCCTACTACAAGAAACATCTGACCTCTGTGATTGCCAAAAAGGGTTTTGCCACCAAGTACTAAGTCATGTTTTGCAGAGGGGTCAAATACTTATTTCCCTCATTAAAATGCAAATAAATTTATAACATTTTTGACATGCGTTTTTATGGATTTTGTTGTTGTTATTCTGTCTCTCACTGTTCAAATAAACCTACCATTAAAATTATAGACTGATCATGTATTTGTCTGTGGGCAAACGTACAACATCAGCAGGGGATCAAATACTTTTTTCCCTCACTGTAATCTAATTCAGAAACATACAGTAATTTCAGTGATTTGTTCCATCACATCATTGAGTAAAAATTTATTTTGAGGACATTAATATTGTGAAGGTTATTGAAGACGAATATAAACCTGTTCATTTCCCCTCCTTTAATGTTGTGAATTTCAGGATATGAAGACAAGAAGAGTAGATCACTGTAAAACAATGAGTTACCGAAGTGGAGCCCTTACTCTCCTGGCTTCAAAGGGTTCCAAGTGAAATTCTTGGCAACAGGAGCAATGTAGTTTTGTGGCCATGATAAAACTTTAAACACACTTTTTTTTTTTGCCTGCGTTGAAGATGCCTATATCGGTCCGCTAATACAGGACTAGTAAAGGCAAAGTGCGCTACTTTTGTGAAAAAATGTTAACTCAAGGTATTTGAGTGTTTACCAGAATTTGTAACTTGAGTCGGATAATTATCTGTACAAAACAGTTAATCTGATAATACTTGTGGAATATAAAAATATTGCTTGATATATGTTTTCCAGTTTCTTGAACTACTTTGCAAATGCAACTTATTTCTCTGTGGAAACAGAAATGGTCTATTCATTCCTTTTACATTTTAGTAGATGCTCTTATCCAGAGCAACTTAGTAGTGAGTGCAGTGGTGGAAAAAGTACCCAATTGTCATACTTGAGTAAATGTAATAATAGAAAATGACTCAAGTAAAAGTGAAAGTCGCCCAGTACAATCCAAGTATTTGGTTTTAAATATACTTAAGTATATAAAGTAAATGTAATTGCTAAAATATACTTAAGTAGAAGTATAAATCATTTCAAATTCCTTATATTAAGCAAACCAGACGGTACCATTTTCATGTTTTTTAATTTACGGATAGCCAGGGGCACTCTCCAACACTCAAACGTCATTTACAAATGAAGCATGTGTTTAGTGAGTCCGCCAGATAATAATAAAATGCCATTTAGCAGACACTTTTATCCAAAGCGACTTACAGTCGTGCGTGCATATATTTTTTGTGTATGGGTGGTCCCGGGGATCAAACCCACTACCTTGGCGTTACAAGCGCCGTGCTCTACCAGCTGAGCTACAGAGGACCACCAGATCAGAGGCAGTAGAGATGACCAGGGATGTTCTCTTGATAAGTGTGTGAATTAGACAATTTTCCTGTCCTGCTAAGCATTCAAATGTAACGAGTACTTTTGGGTGTCAGGGAAAATGTATGGAGTAAAAAGTACCATTATTTTTTTTAGGAATGTAGTGAAGTAAAAGTTGTCAAAAATATAAATAGTAAAGTAAAGTACAGATACCCAAAAAAACTACTTAAGTAGTACTTTCAAGTATTTTAACACAACTGAGTGAGAGCATACATTTTTGTACTGGTCCCCTGTGGGATTTGAACCCACAATTCTAGCGTTGCAAGTGCTATGCTCTACCAACTGTGCCACATCATCACAAACCACTTGATGTCTCAATGTACTCAATTTATGTATTGTGCATTGTTTTTCTTCATGGTGATGGAAAGTCTACAGGTACCAAACCTAGATGATGTACAATACAGTAATGTATTTACATTAAATGGTTTGTAAGGATGTTAAATTAATACTGCACAGAAAGTGGTTGTTTTCCATGTTATTTGATCAAGAAAAATATTTAATTTGATGTGGATGTTTAGTGTCTTTGCCCATAACTTTGTTCTTTCTAGGTTCCATTGGAATGACAATCGCAGAGAAAGGGACAGGACAACAACTCTTACAAATCCAACTATTGAATTCTGCAAGGTACTGTTCTTAATTATACAACTACCTTCCTTGCCAAAGCAGAGATTTTTGTAGATTTTTTTTTATGTGCCTGCTCTACAGACGTCTATATCGGTCCGTTAATACTAGTAAAGACTTCTGCTAAAATATTTTGTATTCATATATTTTTTCGATTCACTTTTTCAGTGGATGCTGCAGCACCCTCAAAACCAATACTTCAAATACAAATATTCAATGTCCCAGTAGTTGAGCTGGATGAATCCCTTCTGTTCGTTGTGAAAATGTTGAAAGTTAAGTGTGGTACACTTATTTTCAATAAAGTTTTATTCAGAAAATATGAATCTGAGTCACTGGTGTTTCTCCCTTCCAAATAGCACATAGGTAGGTGGACATGATAGGGGAAATTCCTGTAGATGTTGCAGCATCTCCCATTCCTCGATAGGAAGGTCAAGAAAAACAAGCAATGTACAGCACAGTTGGCTGATAGCATGTTTAACGCTTCGATCAGACCCACAGCATCATTGCATCAATGCGGTGTAATAAATAATGCAATCAAACTTTTTAATTATGTAATCCAACATTTTTACTGGATATGTGTGCAACAAAAGTTCAATATTCACCTTTTGCTACTATTTCTATCAAGTCTATGCATACAATTTGATGCATATTTTGGATCCAAGGTATGCACCACACAGAACACAGAACACACTGTAACTACTTCTGCAATGCAATGCTGCAAGGCAAACGCAGCGTTCCATGGAAATTAATGTAAATCTGGTGTACCAAAACACAATGACACTGTCTTTGTCTGTGTGATCGAGGCATAGGGCTCTATTCAATCCCTATCACGGAAATTATGCGTTACAGCAGGACTGTAATTTAAAGGCAATGTTCCTGCATTAGCGGAGACTGTGTTCACGCTAAACGCTGCATATGTCGGCTCAATCGGAAATTACCTTTAAAGATTGAATAGAGCCCTAGGCTTGTCCTAGTCATCCCTAGCTTCTGAGTAATACGTTTCGATTCTCGTTAATGTTTATCCTGGTGGGAGAAGTGTCCACTGTCCACAGAGATGCCTCAGTCAGGCTGCTCCTTACACACTGGGAGGAAGATGGCTGCTCTACTGCTGCTGTTGTTGGTTAGTGCTGGTGTCCTGCTGTCTTCTATTGAGGCTCAGGAGGCTTACAGTAAACTACCTGATAACTATAGGAAAGGAGTGGATCTGGCCTTGCAACAACTCAACTCTCATTCTGGAGTCCAGCACCATTTTCTCTTCTTCAAGAGTCTCCTGAAGTCCGACATAGAGGTAAAAAACAATGTTGGTTGTTGTGACCACTAAATATATAGATGCAAATATGCACTGACCATGAACTGCTAAAACTGAGGAAGACCTTTTGAGGTTGAGATCAGATCCATACTCAAGTGTTACCATGTTACAGGTGGATAATACAACTTCAACAATACTTGATAGAATCACCATTTTTCTTTCAGTCTGGGTTTAATGTACAATACGTCTACCACAATTTCTACTTGAAAGCCACCACATGTGCCAAGGGAACCGTTAATCCAAGCTATCAGCGATGCCAATTCAGGAATGACCGAGTGAGTAATATACTTGTACTTGCTTCAACTGGTTCTATTGTCTTTTGTCAAAGCTTTTGAAGAACATAAATGAGTATTTCAGTCATCAGCCGCTTCTCAATTCAATTCAACAAACATATTTTTAAGTTTCTGGAGATTAAGTTTATGACCGTTGACATATCATTACAGGTTATAGATGTAGCACAATGATGAATCCATATTTATTTTTGTGTGTATTGTAACAGCCACTGATTGACTGTGGAGTTTGTTACAAAACATTTTCCGGAGAGATTGAGAAAGACCCCAAGCCATATGTCCACTGTCTCCACAAACCAAAACTAACAAAGGTATTTATTGAAACTTGACACATATTGTGAAATATCTATTTTTAAATGAAAAGTGTTAGAAATGATGACACAGCATGAGTCCATTTCCTTTTGTTTCAGGCTGTGTCGACAGCAAGACTAGAGCACTGTCGCAAGATGAGCTACACCAGCGGAGCCCCTACTCTCCTATCCAGCACCAAGACTGATACTGATGAGTGAAATACCATAGAATAGATGGTTCATAAGACAGAATTGAAAATTAACGGCATTTACAAAACACTGGTGTAATTTCTAGTTTGTGCCAAGATCATTTTTGTTTAAAGGGCATTCCAGCACTTTTCAACTTCATATTCATTATCTCCAGCACCATACCAGTGTCTACAAATGTAAAAACGGATTTGTAGTAAAATAGTATCAAGTTAAAAAGTGCAATTTGATGATGAAAACAGTGATTTTCAAACACTATGAGATTCATGGTCACGCAGGAGCAGGAAAATGTCCTTCCTCTGGCTAGAAACTCGTTGCAGGTTTTGAAAAACACAGTTTTTTACTTTTAATCCTACTCAATGATGTTATCATGTATAATATTTTTTAGGAGCTTACTTAGCTTTTTAACCACAGAACGTAGAAATGCGCCATTTTCATACACTGATAGTGTGCTGAAATAATGAATATGAGGTTGAAAAGTGGTGGAATTGCCCTTTAAGTACATTTTATAACATTTGCTTTACTGAATGTGCATGTACATGTCTGTATATAGTGTACTATTTAGTATCTCAGCTACACTGAAATCATTTAAAAAAACTACACAAAAATGATCAAAATCTGTTTACTCTAAGTGGTGAGCCATTGCCATATTGATTTCATTCTTCCCTTTTCCAATTCAAACAAACAACTTCATGACTAGGCAGACTACGAATCAAACTTTTGACTTTGTTGTGTTGTGAGACATCGTTTTCTAGGTAATACAATTCATAGAAGATTTAGAAAATTGTATTGTTTCACTACTATTAATAAGTTACATAACTGCTTAGGTGGAGTACATTTACATTTACATTTTAGTCATTTAGCAGACGCTCTTATCCAGAGCGACTTACAGTTAGTGAATACATATATTTTTATTTTATTTATTTAAATGTCTTTTTTTTTTTTTTTTTTTACTGGCCCCCCGTGGGAATCGAACCTACAACCCTGGCGTTGCAAACGCCATTCTCTATCAACTGAGCTACATCCCTGCCGGCCATTCCCTCCCCTACCCTGGACGACGCTGGGCCAATTGTGCGCCGCCCATGAGTCTCCTGGTCGCGGCCGGCTGCGACAGAGCCTGGATTCGAACCAGGATCTCTAGTGGCACAGTTAGCACTGCGATGCAGTGCCTTAGACCACTGCGCCACTCAGGAGTAACAATGCATGAGTTGTGTAATGAAGTCCACATGGCCAGAGACCAGCCCTCTCCCGGGGAGGTTTCAGAGGGGTGGCAACAGCCCCCCCTGCAATATAACTGGCCACCCTTAGTTGCCCCCCATTCTCATTGGGTCAGAGCACTGTCAATCGGGTTCAGATTGGAGAAAGAAGATGGTGCGTTTCTTCTGGCAGTTTAATTCTAATGATGGTAAATTACAGTACATAACAGTTACAAACAGTGCATTCGGAAAGTATTCAGACCTCTTGACTTTTTCCACATATTGTTACATTACAGCCTTATTCTAAAATGGATTACATCGTTATTTTTTCCTGATCAATCTACACGCAATACCCAATAATGACAAAGCAAAAACAGATTTTTAGACATTTTTGCTAATTTATAACAGCGATTACAGCCTCAAGTCTTCTTCGGTATGACGCTACAAGCTTGGCACTCATGTATTTGGGGAGTTTCTCCCATTATTCTCTGCAGATCCTCTTAAGCTCTGTCAGGTTGGATGGGGAGCGTCGCTGCACAGCTATTTTCAGGTCTCTCCAGAGATGTTCGATCGGGTTCAAGTCCGGGCTCTGGCTGGGCCACTCAAGGGCATTCAGAGACTTGTCCCGAAGCAACTCCTGCGTTGTCTTGGCTGTGTGCTTAGGGTTGTTATCCTGTTGGAAGGTGAACCTTCACCCCAGTCTGAGGTCCTGAGCGCTCTGGAGCCACTTTTCAGTAAGGATCTCTCTGTACTTTGTTACTTTCATCTTTACCTCGATCCTGACTAGTCTCCCAGTCCCTGCCGCTGAAAAACATCCCCACAGCATGATGCTGCCACCACCATGCTTTACCGTAGGGATGGTGCCAGGTTTCCTCCAGATGTGACGCTTGGCATTCAGGCCAAAGAGTTCAATCTTGGTTTCATCAGACCAGAGAATCTTGTTTCTCATGGTCTGAGAGTCTTTAGGTGCCTTTTGGCAAACTCCAAGCGGGCTGTCATGTGCCTTTTACTGAGGAGTGGCTTCCGTCTGGCCACTCTACCATAAAGGACTGATTGCTGGAGTGCTGCAGAGATGGTTGTCCTTCTGGAAGGTTCTCCCATCTCTGGAGCTCTGTCAGAGTGACCATCGGGTTCTTGGTCACCTCCCTGGCCAAGGCCCTTCTCCCCCGATTGCTCAGTTTGGCCGGGCGGCCAGCTCTAGGAAGAGTCTTGGTGGTTTTAAACTTCTTCCATTTAAGAATGATGGAGGCCACTGTGTTCTTAGCGACCTTCAATGCTGCAGAATTTTTTGGGTACCCTTCCCCAGATCTGTGCCTCGACACAATCCTGTCTCGGAGCTCTACGGACAATTCCTTCGACCTCATGGCTTGGATGTTGCTCTGACATGCACTGTCAGCTGTGGGACCTTATATAGACAGGTGTGTGCCTTTCCAAATCATGTCCAATCAATAGAATTTACCACAGGTGGACTCCAATCAAGTTGTAGAAACATCTCAAGGATGATCAATGGAAACAGGATGCACCTGAGTTACATTTCAAGTCTCATAGCAAAGGGTCTGAATACTTGTGTGAATAAGGTATTTCAGTTTTTTAGTTTGAATAAATTTGCAAACATTTCAAAAAATCTGTTTTCACTTCGTCATTGTGGGGTATTGTTTGTAGATTGCTGAGAAATAAATAATATTTAATCCATTTTAGAATAAGGCTGTCACTTAGCAAAAATGTGGAAAAAGTCAAGGGGTCTGAATACTTTCCGGTGGCACTGTTTGATGCGACTCTAAAGATTACTTGAAAAAAGTTACTTTTTTATATACAGTACCAGTCAAAAGTTTGGACACACTTACTCATTCAAGTTTTTTTAGTTTTTTTTTTACTATTTTTTAAATTGTAGAATAATAGTGAAGACATCAAAACTATGAAATAGCACATATGGAATCATGTAGTAACCAAAAAAGTGTTAAACAAATCAAAATAGATTTTAGATTCTTCAAAGTAGCCACCCTTTGCCTTGATGACAGCTTTGCACACTCTTGGCATCCTCTCAACCAGCTTTACCTGGAATGATTTTCCAACAGCCTTGAAGGAGTTCCCACATATGCTGAGCACTTGTTGGCTGCTTATCCTTCACTCTGCCGTCCGACTCATCCCAAACCCTCTCAATTGGGTTGAGGTCGGGGGATTGTGGAGGAGCAGCAATTTGACGATGAAGGCCTGATTCACACAGTCCCCTCTGAACAGTTGATGTTGAGATGTGTCTGTTACTTGAACTCTGTGAAGCATTTATTTGGGCTGCAATTTCTGAGGCTGGTAACTCTAATGAACTTATCCTCTGCAGCAGAGGTAACTCTGGGTCTTCCATTCCTGTGGCAGTCCTCATGAGAGCCAGTTTCATCATAGCGCTTGATGGTTTTTGCGGCTGCACTTGAAGAAACTTTCAAAGTTCTTGAAATGTTCCAGATTGACTGACCTTCATGTCTTAAAGTAATGATGAACTGTTGTTTCTCTTTGCTTATTTGAGCTGTTCTTGCCATAATATGGACTTGGTATTTTACCAAATAGGGCTATCTCCTGTATACCCCCACTACCTTGTCACAACACAACTGATTGGCTCAAACGCATTAAGAAGGAAATACATTCCACAAATTAACTTTTAAGAAGTCGCACCTGTTCATTAAAATGCATTCCAGGTGACTACCTCGAGTAATAATAACAACAAAGTCACGCCGGTGACGTGACAGCGTGGGATGTTCATATAAAACCATACGTCAGACCACGCACTGTGTCTTATTTCTTCCCGCAAAGTTAGCTTAGCCTTATTGTGCAAGCTGACTGCTCCGCTGCTCCCATTTTTTCGGATTGCATCTTCCGGTATGGTAAGCTAAACTCTGTGTGAGTTGTGTGCACTGTCAGTCTGTCACCAACAGCCTGTGACCTGTGGGTCAGAGTGCGAAATTCACCCTCCAAGGCTGTGTGACAGCTCTCCCCTACCCATTCCTTTTATCTGAGGATATCGGGCTTCCTTGTCTTGTGGTGACTTAGCCCACCAGCTAGTGTGTGTGTGTTGGCCACCGTACTCCGGTGCTAACCTTGAAAAGATATCCTCCACTGCTGTGCACTAGTCATCCTTCGACTATTTATAACTCGAAAGGGTCACATCCTTAGATAACAGCGTCTTGGAAGACTAGCCAGGTATAAGACGTGAGATTTGGTTGCCTCCCCTAGGCATCCCTCTCCCCTGGTATTTCTAGCACGCTACAAGCTAGCTAGCTAGCTAGTTTACCAACTCAACCTAGCTGCCACTGTGTCTCGTCAGCTAGCTTACCAACTCCACCTAGCCGCCACTGTGTGTTGTTAGCTTGGCTTACCAAACGATGACCATTTGTGCGTGTTTCGCATAAATAAACCTACGTTTAAACATTATATCTTTCCTGCTCCAGCCCTGTGGTCATAGCTAGGTTCACCTGAAATTATTTTGCAGGTGCTGTATAACTCCCGCCAGATTATTATAGCTCTCTACCCTTACTGTGTATTGTGGTAGCTGCTGTATACAGTTTCCGGTTACTATTATATTAGTTAATTTGATTAATCAGTATATCGCATAACAAATATTTTATATGTATATTTTATCCTTTTTTCATCACATTCTGAGCTGAGAGTACACCGCAACACCATGTTGCTGAACATTCATGGCTGCTCCTCTTGTGGAGCTGAACTACAAGTAGAAGATGGTCATGACCTGTGCCCCGCCTGCCTAAGTGTTGGCCACCTACATGAGGCCCTTTCTGACCCCTGCATTAACTGCGCAATCCTGCCTGTGAAGGTGAGTGAAGCGCGGCTAGCAAGAGTTGAGGGCCTTGTTTTCACAGATAATCTACCAGCGTCCGGCGTTGTTCACCAAGACCCACCCAGGGCCACCAAAAGAGGGAAAGCCCACGAAACTAATGGCGACCCCCCAGTAAAAA